TGAAAAAAGCTTCTATCGTTTTTCTCAAGAATTAACAGATAATTCAAGGAAAAAACTGCATGGCATTCATATGCTCACTAAAGGCTATCTATATGCAAAAGAAAATTGAAAAGGCTATCTATATGCAAAAGAAAATTGAAAAGGCTATCTATATGCAAAAGAAAAGCTTTGCCAAAGATTTGCGATTTGTTTGATTCTAGCACGGATTTGCTCTTAAAAGTAGTTTCCCTCAGCGTTTTCATTGGGTAGTTAGCGACGCAGTTCCTTATTTCCGCCAATTTCTCGGGTCCGGTCTTCGATCCTCCCGACAAAGAGAAGGAGGAAGCGGAAGAAGGAGACCGGGTATAGGGTCTCTATTCTCAGGAACATCCCGTTTTAATCTTGCCCGAAAATGCCCGATACAACTAATTCTTTTAAAGATCTCCTGGTCCGCTTTTAGCTATACGGAATATATTACAACTCTCATCAGATTTTGCAAGGAAAAGAATGAGTTGCCTCCCATAGCTAGAGATGAAATAGTACACAAGTGCCTCCAAAGAGGATAATTCAGTAAGCTTAAGTAATCGTGACGGCAACACCAACAAAGACGCCAGTTTCAGATTTTCTCCGATCAACAGGGGGGGGGGCACGCCGTGGTAGTGCCGCGTTGGGGTTCTCGTCATTTGAACGTGCAAAATGCTTTTATTTCACGTTTGAGTCTTAAACACGCGCGGAGCTATTGTTTTGCCTCTTGAATCTTTTGATTCACCAGGATTTCTTTGCCGTCAGACGTACTCTGCTCAAGGTCTTAGAAAATATCAATAGATAACAAACGTGAACATTTTGTGTGTGCAACAAAATCATCACTCAAAGTCTTCGAGCATTGTGGCTGAACTATAACATTAACATAGCACGCAAGAAACGTCGCACTGAAACATCCGATGAAAGATTAAAAAATTGAATTCTGACGAACATTTTCCTTACACTTGTCCATAATAATAATAATAATAATAATAATAATAATAATTATAATAATAGGTGCAGATTATGCGGCAAGGCTCCAGAGAGTGTGGCTCATATCTTGTCAGGATGCAGTGCGCTGGCCCAGAGCAAGTATCTCTCTAGACACGACGCAGCACTGAAGGTACTGTTTTACGAACTGTTGTATGATGAGGGATTTATAGACGAGATACCACCCTGGTACTCACCCGACAAGCCGAAGCCCGTGTATGAGTCAGAGAATGTTAAAGCTTATTGGGATGTCCCTATATATGCTGATCAACAAGAGGTCAGATGCAATAGGGTGGATGCACGCATTGTAAATCATATGTGCAAGAGAGTTGTGACGCTGGAAATGAGCTGCCCGTGGGTTAACAATCGGACAAGAAAGGATGAAGAGAAGACACTGAAGTACGGACCCCTTCGCTGGGAACTAAGGCAGCAGTTCCCAGGCTACGAGGTGAAGCAATATAACATCATTATGGATGCCCTCGGGGGGTGGTCACGGGAGCTGGATGTCATGATGCGCGAGCTGGTGGGAGGCAGAAGCACAGACGTACTGCGAAAGATGCAGAGGGCAGTGCTCTCGGGCACGCTGAATATTGCCCGGACTTTCAAGGTGGCAGTTTGAGTTCCTGTTAGAAGGAGGACCGTAGACACAACGGAAAAGCTTTTTAGGATTAGTTAATGTACATTTATTTTTTACTCCATGGCTCACAGGTTACGGTTTTCGCCCTGTGCTGCCTGATTAGAATGTAGCATTCAGTTGATTTCTCTGCGACA